TTGACAGGAAAGTTCAATCCTGGAAATGAAAACTCTAAAAAGCAGTTTATTTTGCAATCAAGGGCGCCTTTCTTCCAAACCCCCGCTGATATTAAGAGTACAAGTCTCATGTTATTAGCCTTCCAGGGGTCACAGGCCTCTAGATACGACATCCTGAGACGTAGCCCTGAAATGACTTTTTCAGAATCAACTGACCGAATTGTGATCAAAAACAATAAGACAGCTGAAACTACTGGACTAAAATCAGCTCTCTACTTTCAGTATTTAAGAATTAATCGCAGTTTCAGAAGAAAATATTCCAGAAAGCATTTTTTTAAACACGTCAGATGGGAAGGTGTTTTGAGAGAGCGCGGAAAAATCAATTCGGTTAGAAAATTTAAAAAATAAGGCGCACATGTGAATCTTTCGATTTCATTTTGACGCTTGTCTTGTCTTGTAACCATGTACGCCCTGGGGGTCTTGGGAATGGAGTTTTGAATCCTCTTCTGGCCTTGCGTCTGGCTAGATTGGTGGAAATTTTAGGTGTCACACAGTCCGGTAATTTCACTCTTGGTTGTAAACCGTGTAGCTTGTTGGTAGTTCTCGTTTCTTTTGAGCCGTGTTATGGTTGGTCGGTTGGCTTTTCTCGGGTTGTTATTTTTGCGTAGCTCAGCCCGATCTGCTCGTACAGATTTGCGCACAGCCCTCTATTCTGCATTTTATCTGTCGTCCTTAAATTCCTGCCTCGCGTTCACTATCTTTTCACGTGACCTGCTACCGCTTCCTCCCATTTCAACCGGTGCTCACACCGAGCTTTAATGAAGCCTCTCCATGTTTTTCGATTGTACGCAAGTTTCCCATCATTTTTTCAGTCCTCTCCTCCTTCAAGGATGAGACGCCTCCAATAGCTGGTTAACTTTTTCCTGAGTTGTCCGTTTGGTGCCTATCTTTTCGCCCTGTTTCCTAAGACAATTCTTTCTACTACTTGGCCTTCCATGTTTTTTGTCTGGCTAAAAGAAGTAGTTAGCCCAGCGCAAGTTGTTGGCGTGGCACCGGTTTATGAGGCTGTTTCCGGCACCATTGGTTGTAAATACACCCTAAGGTCTTATCGCTTGGCCCACTTGTCTATCAGAATTCCCTAGCGATGAGTTTAAGTCGCCTCCTCGAATAAGGGTCGTACCTTTTCTCTTTTTCAGCACTAGAGACAGTTCGTCCCCGAACCCGTTGAACTCTGTAGGGTCGGCCTTCCATAGCTAATGATATACAACAGCCACTATTTTAAGGTTATTCACCTCGACTGAGCAGCAACATATTCCACCTTCTTTCTCGAAACCCTTACTCCCTCCAGCAATCGGCGCAACTATCCCTGAGCACTCCAAAGACGTAACTGACTCTTGCACGTTGCTTGTCTCTGGTCCAAATCAGGCTCAGAACTTCTAGGCTTGTTCGGTGCCTCTCCTCTCCGTTAATCGCCTGGGTTATCATTATATCGACTCCACAATCGGTTGCATGGGAGCATGGGAGAATATCGGCCCGAGAGTGCAGTCAAGGCGACACCCAGCACCACCGCCCATCCTGCAGTTTGGGTTTTCTGTTCTCCCTTTATTTCTGGTGAGCTCCGCGCTTCTCTCCGTGCTGGAAATGAGCCATGGAGAAGCTTATTTTAGCACCACAAATATCTCGCTGTCGTCCTAGAAGCCGCAGATATGTAGATTCGACAAATTCCTAATTGGACAAAGTTCATAATTTTACAAATACACAAACAGTTTAAGCTGCTTCGGCTTCATCGGAGCCAATTTTACCTCTAAAACCTCAGCATTCAAGAGTTTGTGTCGATGTTGCCATGAAAATCCAGAAATTGTTTAAACAAAGTCAGACAGAGGATGTTTTATGGTTTTTTAACTGTTGTTGGCTATGTTTCAGTCACATAACAAAGGTGTGTTCGTGCAGCAGTAATTGAACAGAAAAAGTTTTTTTTTGCGTCCTGCTCTAATTGAATAACAATGAGAAAAAATTGGTTTGATTGAAATCTTCATTGTTATTTATTACCCTTGCGATTAGCAAGGGTGTTGCAATGCAACCGGGTACTTAACTTTTTCCCGTAAATAACTTTGTTAACTGGCTGACTGAAATTGGTGTCAACCTGTCAACGCCATCTCCCATTCTATAATTTCATCATCATAAGCCAAATTTGAGCATGTCTGCTTTTTAAATGCTTTTGTTCGAATTCTTTTTTGTATGTAAGTTTACTAACCCCGATTTCTGTATATATATATTGTCGAGTCGTCTCTTGAACAAAAGATGTTTGTTGTTGAATGTTTAAAGGGGACTAATAAAATTTTTTCTGGTTGTTTTTCTACGATTTTTTTTCCGGCTCGACGTGTAATTGCTCAGGTATTGGTGACTTTGTTACCGCTTTGTAAGTTTTATTTTTGATGCTCATATAGTTTTAGGTTGTCCTACTTGACATGTTGTTCTTCGAAGACAAAATCAAGGCCAAGATATGAAAATTTCGGTAGATATTTCTGCTGATTTTTTAAAACGTTTTCTGTCGGTTAATTTGCCATGCTTTTTTTGTGTTGTCAAAAAAATGTTTCTTTCAATTTTACCCCAAGTTGTCTCTTACACAATTTCGGGTAAAACACAATCGAATTTATGGAGTTCAAAGCATAATCTACGAATCCGTTAGCTGTGTTGCTTTTCGAGGCACTGAAAGTGTGGAGGAACTTTATTCAGGTGTTTTGTTAATGTTTCCTTTATTCCGCCGCAAAATTGGGAAGAAATAATCATCAGAAATATGTTAAGCTAGAAAATCAATTTAAACCTTTCTTGACAGTTTCATTTAGCCTTTTCGCAGCACGAAAATGAAAAAATCTTAAAAAGAAGTTAAGAAAATAAATAAAATATTTATTTTCGGTTTTTAAGAGTAAGGAACGCAGTGAACTCTTATATAGGTCTTAATGATTTTTTTTTTCAGGAAGAAGTATTAAAATGCTCTATAATAACCACAGATGTGCATTCATACATATTAATGCATTTATGAATGCACTTAGGTATATATGCACTTTTTGAGTTCAAATAAAATTCATCTACTGAAAGTTACGTAAATAGCACGCTCCAAATACAAACATGGCAATCGCGCAAAAAACGAGACGATTTCTAGTTTCGAAAGTGGAATTCAATTTTCAGATTTCCAGCGGAATTAAAAATTTATCTATTGATCCAGTTTTCTCATGTTGGGTTAATGTCATCAAAAAAGCACTATTCATAAATTGTTCTAGAAATTCCAAGAGCCTCAAAGGCATCTATGTTTTCTCTTTAAAATTCGAAAGTTGAGATTTTTCCAACAAAGTCAGCGTTTTTTGGTTACTTGCGTTCATTACTCATTTCCAACTGTCAGTTGGCTATGTTATGAATTGCAACAATAACTGTAGTTTATTGAAGCCATGAATCATTGTTACAGGTTAGTTTTAGTATCTCTTCTTAGGGGCGCAAAAATAAATAAACAAATATATTTTTGTGTGTGATCGGAACCTTCTGTGCAAACTTGTACAGGAACCGGCTATCCTGTTTTATTTTTGCTTGTTGATGCGAGGATCAGCCTTGTATCTGTGTCCCTGTTTGCATCTGAGTGTACACGCTGTACAAGAAATCATCTGTTTTGGAAACGTCAAAAGGGAACATTTCGATTTGAGAAATCGGTTATTTAGGGTATTATGCAAGAAGCTTGTTAGTCTCCTCCCACTAATCTTAGCTCACTGAGTTGTGTCTAAAAAAAGAGCAACCATTTATGCCAATTATGCGTGTTTGTTCATTTTTTACCGGAATAGGATCAATATAAATATTTGATGCCATGCCGCTGAAGCGCCAGATGTTTCATGAAGGATTTCCTCTGGCTGTGCTTCTAACATGTTTTATGGCCACTTAAACGTTAAGTAGACATTTTATGGAAGCGTTGGTTGGTAAAGCCGCTATTTAGTCTTTGGTACTGACTATTAAGATAAAAAAACAAAGTAATTGTAATTATGTTCATCATTCTCTCATCTATTTTGTTTTCGTGCTTCTCCTTGCGTGATTTTGTTCTTCGTTGCCGAAATTTTAAAAAATCATTTAAACTAGCCAAAGAATTTGGATACCTTATAAACTCTTTGTTTAAATTTTCTAAGTCAAATCTGAATGGCAGAAAGTGGTGCAAGATAAGAGGGGAAAACCAGACGGATCTCCTACTAATCCCACGTATTGAAAAAATCCATCCTAAAGAACTTATCTTAAAGCTCTGCATATAGGAACCTTTGAAAGCAGATTTTACAGGAACTTTATGTCAAATTTTTCTGAAATTATTTGGAACCTTGTTTTTCACTTTCTGCAACCTTAAATAGATTTTTTCCTGCCTAGCAATGACTTCAAGTCGAGTTAAGCCACACAAGCGATTATCTATCTTGTCACAAAGAGAATTCTCCCTGCCTCAAATCACTTTAAACTCTCAAATAGAGAAAAACTTGGCGCTTCAGAAGTTTTTACCTAGCAAATCATTTTCATATACGCTGACTGATTTTATTTTACGGTAAGTTTTTTTTTTGTTATGGTACCTTTGCGGTTATAGTCATCTTGTCTTTTGTCTTTAATTAGATGCCAAGTGTTCTTCGCCATAAGTTAAATTTGATCACACTTTGATGTTACTTAGCGTTGTAACCAAACGTGTAACGAGTATTTTTAGATGCTTGCGATTTCATTTTAATTTACTTTTTTACAACCTTTTGATTGAAAGCAATCACCAAAGCAATGCTTCATTTGTTCAGCGCGTGGTATCATTTATGTGTCTTGAATTAAGATTGATATTTTTAACATTGTCCGCTGCGATTCATGTGCGCCGTCATAGTTTTCCGGTCGTTAAATTGCCAAAGAAAAGCTACAAAAATAATGCTCAGACAAAATTTAGAATGAAGGTCTTGAACGAATAAAGTTTGGTGAGAAAGAAAGTCTGGTGAGCAAAAAACTCAATTATGAATCTGATGTTGCAGGTCTGAATCTTTGAGGCACCCGACGGAGCGAGCATCTCAGAACCGTCACAGGAAATCCACGGCCGCCGCCGATCGGTCCCACCATTCGATTCCAACTCACAGAAGTGTATCTCAAACTCGCAAATCGCAATACAACCCAGGACATGCTGCCCCTCAGAGTAATCTGCTGCGAGGGTCTAGAAGCAAAATGGGTCTCAATAGGAGTTCACAACTGTCCATTTCGTGTGATGTTCCTGACGATGACGACGATGAAGATGTAGTTCATTCGGGAAATGACGAAGACGACGAGGAGGATGACGTCACCGAAGACTTCGAAGATGACGGAGCTGATTTTGAAGACGACGAAATGAACTCATTGGACGGTGAGTTGCTTAAATTAATCACAGGATTCAGCTTTTGACGAAATCTCAGCGTTTAAAATATAAGTTTTAACTTTTATTGGAAAAACAAACAAATACAAAAAATGGCTTGTTTTTCGAGCTATGTGTAATCTCTATACTGTTAGTTTTTATGCAGCAAACAATTATATAGTTCAATTAAGAGTTAATTGACTAAATTGACAATGACTTGGTTCGTAGACGACGACGCTTCGGCAGGAAGATTGTCTGCGTGCAGTAGCTATAGCAACCTGTCCCGTCTCGGCCACGGGGAAAGCGACGAAGGCGAGGAGGACGACGATGATGAGGACGAGAGTAAGACAGCTGTGACGTCACTGAGCAGAAGTAGGGCCCAGTCGGGGGTCGGGAGGGAGATGGTGCCGAATGAGGAGGGACTTCTACCTGCTCTCTGGCCCTCTCTCTTCAAATACATTCCACCTACCATCTTCTTCCACCTCAAGACAGAAAAGGGTTAGATAAGAAGATAAACTTACTAAGTTAGTCATTTTTTTTTCGTTGTTCTTTCGCTGGTTTGTTTGGCTTCAATTGTTTTTACTTATGTTTTTATCGAGTAATTGACCTAATTAAGCGTTGTGCGTTGTTTCAAGGGAAAATAGGTTTTTACGCTTTTGTGTGTTTCCGGAGGGGGAAGCATAAAAATTTAGATTTTCGGAACTTTAAAAAATTTTCAATTGAAAACAGTTTTGCTCAACGGGTGTCTAATCAATTTTGGCCGGCTTAGTTGCCGGCTTTTACATGATGAGAGGAGAGCAAACTCTTCTATCGAACAGCAAAAAATGCGAAGGTCACAAAAACGTGATCAACTTCTAGTTTCGGAAATGGCAGTTAAATTTTAGATTTCTCAGCGAAGTAAAAAGTTAAAATATTGATCCAGTTTTTTCAAATTTGGTTATTTTTAATCAAAAAGTGTCAATCAAAATTTTTCTAAAAATTCAAAAAGTTTGAGTCCATCTATTTTTTTTTCATTGGAATTTGAAAGTTGAGATATTTCAAAAAATAAACCAATATTTTGTTTTTGTTTTCTTGCATTCATTGACTCTTTTCCAACTCTGTAGGCTATGTTTCAAAAAACGGCCCCCACGCCATTGGTGTAATGTGTTGTAGTCGCTGTCTTGCCACACGATGCGAGGAAGCTGCTGAAGTGGAAGCCCAGTACAATCTGTCCCAATGTGGTCAAGAACCTCATCGCCAGAGTCGGATTCAAATTCTCAAAAAGTTAGTCGTCGATGAAGTCAATCGTCATTTATGGAATATTAACCGAAAAACTTGCCTAAAATAAGAAAATGTTGAGGTTGGTGACTATCTCAACATTTTCTTATTTTAGGCAAGTTTTTCGGTTACTATTCCATAAATGACAATTCACTTCCTCGCAATTAAAACTGCAGTTGATAATTTTGTAGAGATTTTGTATACAAGTAAGTAATTATGTGCATAGAAAGAGATACTGTTTATATTTAGGGGAAATTATTAATTGATAAAACAAATGTTTGCGTAAAACCAGTTTATTTTGGGTCGAAATTGTGTTTCTCAATTATACACATTATTATATTATTTCACGCGCTGCATAACTACCCTTTACATTTAATTATGACAAACCTTTTTTTCTTCAAACACACAACATTGGTCAACATAGTAGCCTCCCATCATAACTGTTCATAACCTATTGCAAACATACTGTTCACAAAATGATGTATCTAACCATCTATTTGATAAGTCTGTCACGGCAATTGGGTTGAGTTTCAAATATTATTTGAAATAGAGAGTAAGGTATTAATCCATGACAGCCTACAAAAGCTATTTCTTATTGAAAAAAATGTTTCTTGTCATTATTGATTTCATTTATTCTATTTGATCCTTATATGACGTTCATGAAATTTTGGTTCAATGTTGATTTGTACATGCGTTAAATTATGATTTAATCGGTGTTAAATCGGATGAGATTAATGGTTTCTGTTTTTTTTTCGTTCTTTGGCTGAGAGTTATAAACGATCTGATTTACCATTGGTCAATTCTCCCTTATGTTTTTCTTTAGGCTCAACGGATATCGCAGAAGGTACTTCACCGAGTGAGATGAATTGTTTGCTCTGAGTTTGCACTATTCAGAAAAGATTGAGGCTCACAGGAGTTTATTATTATGATTTTTTAATTTTCCTGCATTGCTTGTTCACCCAGGAATCAACTAACTTAACGCTTCTCGATGAAATGAATAAGCTTAGCGAGGCCTCTTCCTTGTTTAAATATATTACAAATTTGGGAGTACTTGCAAAAACAATTGGATATCTAGGCCATCTCTTTCTCAGTATAGCCCCGTTTCTAGTCGAGGGATTGGTTTTTATATCTTAAAGGTTTTTGTAGTTTTCTGGGAGCTGTAATGGGAAATATTTGAATCAAAATTTAGGCGAGAAGTCTCATCGAACTAACCTGTTTTGTTTCCTTAACTCATTAGTCATAACTGATTGATAAACAAGTGAATTTTTGAGAATTGTGTTTTGTAGGAAACAGCGATTGGATTTGCTACTGGGGGAAACATATGAAGGCCGAGTGCTTCAGGAACGTCAAAGAATACCAGAAGGTTCGTTTATTTTTGGAGCTTATGCACGAAATGATTTATGTTTTTGAAACTTAATAAACGAAATGATTTATCACTTGTTGTTCCAACTTTCGAAGAAAGTGCGGAATATTTTCAGGTCTTTTTGTTTTTCCGTACTCAATTTTTTTTATAAAGTAGATCATTTTTCCCTTTCGTTGAGTTCGTTGAAACTTTTCCTATTAGCAGTCATTTTTTTGGCTTTCCTTGAGTTCACTGAAACTTTTTCAACAGTCTTTTGGCTTTGTGAGATGAAAAAAATGTCGTCTCGTGCATATCAGAACCCTGTTTTCAGTTGTTATTCGGAGTGCAATGAATAAATTAAAGAAATTTGGACTGTAATGAAAAAAGAAGAACGTTTTCCAAATTGTCTGTTGGCTATGGTTTCTTCATTTACTTCATATTTTTTGTAGGCTTTCTTTCAGTCTTTCGTTTTCTGGCGTTTAGGTGAACCACTTTCCGGGCACATTCCAGATAGGGCGAAAGGACAAACTGTACCGGAATCTAACCCGGCTGCAGAGCCGATACGGCCAGAAGCACTTCAACTTCTTCCCCAACACATTCGTGCTCCCAGTGGACCTCAGACTGCTGAAGAGGTGCTGGGATGATGGGGGTTACAAGAACAAGTGGATACTAAAACCGGTCAGTCACTCAGTTCTTGTATATTTTTGGTGCTTTAACTATCCTTTTTGTATGCAATCTTGCTTACACTCTGTACGTTAACAAATTGAAGTTTCTTTTTTTTTTCAAGATAGCGCACGACAGAAATGGGTACCCTATTTCATTCTTCCTGTTTTTGAAACCCAAATTATGGAATATAGTGATCGATCTTGTTATCAAATTAAAGGGCTGGTATGTTATGACTCTTATAGCCGGCGTCTGCTCGTGGAATTGGTATCAAAGTGATCAACAAGTGGAATCAGATTCCAAAGAGGAGGGCAGTGCTGGTGCAGAGATACATCAACAAGCCATTCCTCATTAACGGCTCCAAGTTCGACCTCAGGATCTACTGTTTCGTCAGCTCCTATGATCCCCTCCGCGTCTATGTCTACAACAACGGTCTCGCCAGATTCTGCTCAATGAAGTTAGTTTGCAAAATACTGAAGCGAATCTGATAGTCATGTTGGATGCCATTTCAATGACAACAATATGAGCATTTTTCTACAGTTTACTTCAACAAATGATTTAACCAGGGTGTCAAATCGGTCTCTCAAGTCCATTCAAATCAATTAACACTCACACGTGCCAAAGATTTTCAAGCTATTGTATCAGCTGAAATATAGTTTTTATTCAAATGAAAAAAAACTAAACGCGGCAAATGAAAACTTTCGATTATCATGTAGTTCTAGCAAAAAATTCAATTGACAGTTACTTTGTTTCTTTTATGTGTTCGTGCAGGTACTCTAGTTCTGTGAAGAATATCAGCAACAAGTTCATGCATCTGACTAATTACTCGGTGAACAAATTCAATTCGGACTATTTGTCGAATGACAGCAGCACCAAGTGCGAGGGACACAAATGGTCAGTTAATAGTCCAGTCTATCTTTTTTGTACTCGTTCTTACACTCCCATTATAGTCCAACAAACAAAGGTGGATCTGGTGAAAGAAACGCCAAAGATAATCCCTCGTTTCCAAACATTAATATGACAGGAGTTTCGAATTGTAGCATAATCGTATATACGGTTAAACTTTGAAGTATTCAGAAATATCATTTATACCACCCTATCAAGTTAATAATAACTCATCCGAACAACCTATTAGCAGCACAAATCACAATGCCAAACCCAATATAACATCAGTTATCGGAAGAAAACGATGTTAAATTTAACAAATAATATTATGCCAGAAGTTAGAACTGAGGTTATATTTGGTTTAGCATTGTATTTCGTTCTGCTGAGAAATTATTCGATTTCGATTAAAGTTTACCCAAGCGAAGATTATTGTATTATTACGAATATTTTTTACACTGCGAGGCTTAATGTATTATTACGAAGATTTTTTCAATGGCATATGGTGCAGCTTTTAGTTTTGGATAGTGTTAGGTCCTGTTTGCAATAAAAACACGTATAATGAAAATGTATGGGAAATGTTGTTTCGTTTTTTTTGCAAGGTTTGGAAATTTTTTTGCACTTTTCGCAGAAGTTTCTACTTTTCTAAAAAACTACTGTAACGATTTTAAAAAAATAAGACTAGTGGAAAAGTCTGCTGCTCTTCTATGTATCTGCATATTTCGCTAGTCTCTCGGCATTTTACCTACGGCCTTCGAAAGTTTCAGAATCAAAGATTTCAATCAAAGGAAGAAATAATTGGGACTCCCTTTCTCAAGCGGCTTATCTCTATGTCTGCTTTTTGCAGAAAAGCTGATTTGGACTTCGGAAAAATTCCTTTTTAAGTTTTTACCGCTTTTTTGAAATTTTGTCACTTATTGAAAACTACTAGCTAAATCTGATATTATATTAAGGGTTCAGTCTTAAAAACGAGATGCGGAAAGCTTCAATCTAAAAATCAGGGTATGGAAGGCGGAGACTAGTCGCAGGCTTTAGAAGAGAAAATTTTATAGATTTTAAAATTTTTTAATGATTTTTGGAATCTTTTTCATTTTTTAATAAAACTACGCAGCCAAATCTGAGATAGAGACTTCAATTGAAAGAACGAGTAGTAGTTTCTTCCTTTAAATAAGCGTTTAATCCCCAATACGCAATACATCATTAAAACTATTAGAACAGGTTGATCCAGGATTAGCTGGGCCACTAGTTTACTTCCAAGCGACCGTGGCGCAGATGCGAGAATGTGAGACTCCTAATCAACAAGTCCGATATACAAATCCAGAACTTTCAAATAGTTTTATTTTTTGGGCATTTTTTTGCTGCATAACATTGGCAATATGATAAACTGTTGCTGCTTTATTGGTGGCTAGTGTTAGTTAAGTTACAAGCAGTCGTGGAGCAGATGTGAGGTTGTGATACTCCTAATCTAAGCAAATTTTTCAAGGTGTCTTTATCTTTTCCTTATTTCACTTTGCCTGTTTGGAGCTCTTTTTGCATTTTCCTCGCTCGCGTTTGCGAAGCGCAGCTTCGCCTCGGTGTTCATGATCGATTTGATAGAGCGGTGTAAAAAATTTTCGAAATCTTATAGGACTCTGCAGGCGCTATGGGGATGGATGGATAGACGAGGTATTGACCACAGGAAGATATGGAATACAATCCAAGACATCGTAGTCAAGACCATCATTGCGTGAGTACAATCATGCCTTTTGACAATATAGAAGCCATAACTTCAGTGATCATGGGATCTTTAATCGTAATTGTGGACTAAAGTCTCAGGTTAAGATTTGAAAACCTGTGACTTTCTGCTAAGACATCCCTTTATATATCCGTTTTGAGCAGAGAATAAAGTGGCTCGATGTACTATAAAAAAAGACAATGCTTTCTTTCTGTGTGATAGAATGCCAATTTGAATTAATTGCAGGTCAGACCACTTTGTGAGCAGTGCGACTAAGGCGAATCTGAAGAACAGGAGATCGTGCTATGAATTGTTTGGCTTCGACATCATCCTCGATGACAACCTTAAACCTTGGATCCTGGAGGTCAACATATCGCCCAGTCTGCACAGCAACTCCGAACTGGATATTTCAGTCAAGGAAAACATGCTGAGAGACTTGTTCAATGTATTAGGTATTTTACACAAATCTAAAATTTTGATAAACAATCTCGAATGATGAAAAAGGACAAAAGAAAACTTAAACATAAAGTAACAATTTTTTTTTTTTCATTTTTAGGGGTCAATGAACGCAGTGATGAGTGTTTTTTTTGGAAAATTCCGTAAATTTGAGCACTTCCAAACGGATTTTCGGGGTTTGAATTGTGATTTTTCAAACTTATTTGCTAAATGGAACGCAAGTTATGCTGTTGACTGACAAAATAAAATATAAAAGCTTTTGTTTCATTTTTTTGAACTCCCAGTGGAAAAACTGATCAATTGATTGTGTTTGCTCAAATTGGGTTATGGGTTAGTTTTGACAAAAAATTGTCTATCCTTAAAGATAAATGAAAATTTAAAGGGCTTCAGTGTTAAATGTTCTTTTTTGAAAATGTCAATTCCATACCCTAAGAAAGATGTAGAGATGAAAGAAAGATCAATAAACACAGCATATGTATCTATTTCTTCATACTTTTTTTAGGTCTCACTGTCCCTGATAAAGAAGAAGTGGCATCTGCCAACATGAAGTGGTAAGTTGCAGTTGTCTCTAAGATTCATCAAAAGCGCAATAATCACCGCGATTCTAATGAGGTTTAAAAGATTTTAAATGGAATTGAAGCATAATGAAATCATTTTAATTAATTTTTCTCTAATTTTTTTGCGGGAACACCTTAGTCTTTTGGTTATAAAAAAGACCATTCGTCTATTTAAAAAAGAGCTTGCCATGTTTATATTCGATTGTGAATTGCTGAAAAAAAATTATAGGAAAGTTTTCGTAATTCGTGATTGTTTCAGTAAATTTAAGCTGCCATACATGAAGGATGGCAAATTCATACGCGATGCCCAGCTAACACAAAATGAAAGAGCCAAACACGTGCACTACATGCAAAGGGCTAGTGATGAGGTAAGTTTAGTTATTTGTCTTTCTTCGAAGATTTTTTGAGATTGAAAAACATTAAAGATTTTTGATCGAAAAAGCATTAAAGATTTTTGAGATCGAAAAATTATTATAGATCAAAACAAAACTATGAGAATTACGGGTTTGTATTGTATAAAAAAACTGGGAAATTAAATAAATAGCTGAAATCTGCGGGTATAAAAGATTATGATGTAATTGGCTAAAAAGAATAGGACGAAACGAAGCTTGTTGTAAGACGGAATCTGTTTGGTCCGTTTTGCAGACGATCATAGTATTTATGTTCAGGTGGTGAAGTCGACGATTTTGGATATTTTGACGGCTGAGGACATCCGACTGCTGGCTGAGACGGAGGACGAGATGAACAGAGCGGGAGATTTCGTCCGAGTGTTCCCAGCCATCAACTCTACGCAGTACTTGCGCTACTTCGACCAGCCGGCAAAGTATGCCAATCTTCTGCTGGACGAGTGGGCCAGAAGATATGCGTATATGCCTCAAAGAGGTCAGTAGAACATTTAACTACCATCGATATATCTCCCAGAAAAAGAATGAAATAGCTGAAACTTTGCGACCAATCAAAAACCTGTAAGCTTTGCAAAAAATACTGTCATTTTTGTTTTATTTTTTAACTCTGCTTGTTAGACTTTTTTCACGCTTAAAACTTGGTTGAACCCTGGTTTCTGCTGGATTCACTAGCTTATTTTATTAACACCAGCAAGCTAGCGAGCGTAGTGTATAAGTTTGACTTTTTTCCAACCTGACTCACAAACAAAAATTTTTTCCGACATGACTCACAAACTCACTCCTTTGGGTACATTTTTTGCTAAAATCACTTTTGTTCTCTGCTTTATTTTTGGCTAGTTTTTGCCGCTCTGTAAGCGACATTAGAATAGTTGGAAGGACACGAGTCTCCTAATCCCCTGGTTGGAGGTTCAACACCGCACTTAGAGCTAATTTGATTTATCTTTGGTGGCATTTTTGTTTCATTGGCATGTTAGCATCTATAGTCTAATCTTTGGTGGCTAGTATTAGCAAGCTTGGAATGAGCCCGTGGCGCAGATGCTAGAACGTGAGACTCCGAATCTCTTCGAATCCAACTCATTTTTTGTACTTTTGTCGCTTTCTTTCTAGTGTTTGCGAAGTGCAGCATCTTCATGTAGTATATTAAGTTCCAGTATTTATTTTACCCGTTTTCACACAGTATTCACACAGCAGAAATGTACAGGTCATAAAAAACACGATCGATTTCTAGTTTCGAAATTGGATTTTATTTTTCAGATTTCCTAGCGGAATACAAAATTTTCTTTGAAATGCGAAAGCTGAAGTTTCCAAAAAAAAACAAATCACTTTGTTTTCGGTTTCCTTTCGTTCATTGACTATTTGACAGGAAGGTTTCTTGTTCGCTCAAAAGCTTTATTTAGTTTAAGTAGTTTCGGCTCAAGTTATTTGGTTTAGTGACCGTATATTGCGTTTTTCGAAAGGCACAATTGTTTTCAATGCTTTTTCGCATTTCACAATGGGAGCGCAAAAAATAATGGGAATTTTAAAAATTTAATAACTCAAACCGATCGATGAAATTTTTCAATGGTTTGCTTTTTTACCGCTGGCTAATGTGTTTCTCGATTTTTTTTTTCATTAAATTGAACATCATTTGAGACAAATGTATTAAAATTTTGTAGATTTTTTTTCGTTATTTTCTGTTCATTTTTTTAAAGAATTTTTGGCTTACGTCTCATTGTTCGTCCGCTAGCTTGCGAAGTTATATCGCAATTGCTTCAGTTGTACCTGCACCAGTACAAACCAAGACTTCGTCTTCCATACCAGTTTTGGTGGTCGCTGCTGTCTATAGACATGTCGGGTATTCTTTTGCAAGAAATAAATGCAAGCTAAATGCACAATAACACAATCTGTAGCGTTGGAAAGTTCATAGCATCTGTTCCCTGCTTTATTGGTGGCTTGTGTTTGCTGTTAGTCAAGCGTTCGTGGCTCAGAGGAAAGAAAGGACATGAGATTCCTAAGCTACTGGTCGGAGATTTAACCTTGCACTTAGCTCTAGTTTTCTTTATATTTGGTGGCGTTTTTCTTGCATAGAATTGGCATTTTCTTAGCATCTATAGCTGCATCATTGGTGGCTAGGCTAGTGTAAGGAAATTTTTAATGGTCCGTGAACTATTTAAAAAGTTGGTGTTAATTTTTCAAATTCATTTAATATTTCATATGTTAAACTAAATTGATGTTTGGATTTGGCGTGTGTTATGTCAGGAATAGAGGTGCTGGAACATCTGTGCGCTGTGCGTGCCCATCTGGGGGAGAGGGACGACCTGTGCAAGTGGAGCCCCACTTTAGGAAACAACACCATGGCCTCCATGTTCAGACTACATCCCCAACACACCACCAACTTCAGAGCAACTTCAAACATCGCCACAGCTAATGGGTACGTTCAATAATTTAAGAACCACAGTCATGGGACGTGGAAGTTGTATCTTTTATTTTTCAAGAGATGAAATGAAGGAAAATTATTCAAGTTTGTACCGTTTTCTGTACACCTACTCGACAATCACGGTCGAAACTTGATATACGATGGATGAAACTATTTTTAAGAGTCTTATAACTGTTTTTAGGTCTTATAATTGATGATTTTTTGTTCGTTTTTTTTTCTCAGGAAGAAGTCCAAATGCTCTAATAAGTACAGATGAGCGTTCATACATATTAATGTATTTATGAATGCTCTTAGGTATTTATATGCTCTTTGAGCTCAATTTAAATTTATCTGCCAAAAGTTAGGAAAATCGATCTCTCCCATTACGAAATCGGAAATAGCGCGAAAAAAAAATTGCTTCTAGTTTCGAAAGTAGATTTTAATTTTTAGTTTTCACAGCGGAATCAAAATTTTACCTAGTGATCTAGTTTTTTCAAATTGAGTTAATTTTATCAAAAAAGTGTCAATTATAAGTTCGTCTGAAAAATCAATGGGCATTAAGACCAAAAATTTTCTATTTGGAAAGTTGAAGATTTTTCAAAAATAAGTAAGTTTTTCTTCTGTTTCATGGCGTTTTTTGACTTTTTCTCAACTGTCTGTTGGCTAGTTTTAAATAATAGCCGGATAAAAAGCGTAAAAAATTGTTTTCAACGCGTCGTTTGGTCATTTAATCAGAGGGAGTCAAAGATGTGTTCTTAGTTCCAAAAAAAATCCCCGGAAACAGCAGAAGCATTTTGAAACTTGGACCTAAAAGTTACGTTGGAAAGGTAAGGTTTTAAGCAAGGGCATCATGTAGGTTTAACATACTTAGAAAGGCATACAAAAATTACTCAGCTTCGATTATTATTTGAACTCGAATTTTGGCGTTTTTCCAATTTACTAGCTAAATTTTTAGTCAATTTCTGTCTTAACAATTTCTGTCTCAATTTTTTTTTTTTTACGTGAAGAGCAATTTATTATGAGTAATGAACGTAGTGAGTACTCGTATTTAAGTATTGGTGATTTTTTTTAGAAAACAGTCTTTAAGTTTGCTCAAGCTCAATTTTGATTTTTCACGGTTTGACTTCTGATTTATTTTTAAGTTCACTTCATTTCTTTTGTTTAAGGGAAGGCAAACTCAACAATCAAACAGCAAAAGTGTTAAGAACTCGAAAAACGTGATCGACTTTAATCTCGAAAAAGATTTTAATCATCAGATTTCCCAAAAGTTTTATTGAGCCAGTTTTCTCAAATTGCGTTAATTTTATCAAAAAACCCCTTTCATGAATTGTTCGTGAAATTCAAAGCGCTTTATTGGCGTTAATTTTTTCTTTTAAATTAGAAAGTTTTTCAGTTTTTTTTGCGTTGATTTATTTTTTCCAACTGTCATTTGGTTAAGCTATCAAAGCCTAGCTTAGATCCTTAGCTTTTCAACGAATACTTTCAAGTTGAAAGTTTCAAACTACTGCTTTTTATAGGGATTTTTTGGCACTAACAAAATTTCTGTGACGCCCTCTGATTAAATGTCCTAACGAGCCCTTGAACGCAACTTTTGACGGTTGTTTAAACAACAATAATCTAGTTAACAGTTTCATTCATCGTATGTCAAATTTAAACCGTGAACCTATAGTGATTGCAGAGAAAAAGGGCAGAAACATGAAAAAATTTTCGTTCTTTCATTGCTTGAAAACAAAGTTGCAATTTTCCTGTCCTGTGGCTGTAGTTAGCTAAACTGACACTGATAACCTTAGGGAGGCTGTAAAAAATATGTTGGGCTCCCGCTCTCGTAGTTTTCTGCTCCCGTCAAGAATTTTATGTCAAATGCTGATTTTGAAAAATAGTTTATCTAAGTTGCAACGGCGTACCAAAATTGGGTTCATGCATGTCTTTCCATGGAAAATATCGAATAAGTTTCGAAACGGGTTGTTACTCTTATGATGATGTTGTAGACCGAACTCGTCTCGAAGTCGGAATAAGTCTTCATCGGCGACGGCAGCGGCCGCCGAAACAGTAAACGTGAACAGTGTAGGGACGAAACTCAAGGCATTGCAGATGAAGACGGAAGCGGCAGCACTTGAGTTGGAGTCGCAATGGTAAGTTAGTTAAACCAGGTCATCTATAATCAGTAGCAACAAGTTCGGATTGTCAAAAATAATCTGTCAGCAATTTTTGTTTTTGACTCAGTTTTGTCTATCCGAATTTTTTGCTACTTGTTTTAGCATAATATTTAAGAAAAAAGACAGACTTGTTTTTTCAGAAAGAATTTATGTCTACAGGTTGCCTGAAAATCCAAATTTGAATTTAAGTCTCCAGGTTGCCTGAAATTAAAATTGCCTGTTAAATTACAATCGTTGTATCAACTTTTTGTAACTTTCTATATAAAGGTCATGCCTACTTATTGGCGTTTTGGTGACCTTGACTGTCTTAAATAGTCAAGAGTTTCTGAGAGTAAATAAACCAGCCGAAGTATAAACCAACCGAAATTGCGTGGAGTTTATGAGCCAGCCGAAAAGTTCATCATATAAATGAAATTTGCATAACTTTTGTAACTGTTTAAGAGTAATGATTGTAGTGAAGACTCTTATATAGGTCTTGCTGATTTTTTTTTCAGGAAAAAGTGTTAGAATATTGATGCAATTAGGTATATATGCACTTTTTGAGTTCAAGTGAAATTCATTTGCTGAAAGTGACGTAATTAGCCTTCTCCAAATACGAACATGGAAATGGCGCGAAAAAACGTGCACGATTTCTAATTTCGAAAGTTGAATTTATTTTTAAGTTTTCCCAGCTGAATAAAAACTTTACCTATTGATCCAATTTTCTGTAGTTGGGTTCATGTTATCAAAAAAGCGCCAATCATTAATTGTTCTAGAATTTCAAAGAGCTTAAAGGGCATCATATATTTTTTCCTTTAAAATTTGAAAGTTGAGATTTTTTCAAGAAAATCAGTGTTTTTTCGTATGTACATTGCGTTGATTACTCATTTCCAATCTTCAATTGGCTATGTTACACTAGTGAGCGTTAGATTATTAGTCCGAACCTTCTCATTTTTTTTAAACTCAACTCCCAATTAAAAGTGTTCACTTTATGGAAATTCTACTGTAGTATTGGAAATTGCATAGCATCTGTTCTCTGCTTTATTTGTGGCTAGTGGTTGGTGCATATTAAGCGTCTGTGGCGATGTGGTTAGAGTCTAAGATTTAATTTCTAGGTCGCAGGTTAGAATTCGAGACGTAGCCTTATTTTAACTAATTCGAGGCTTTTTTTTTATTGCTTTTGTAGAGCTGCTTTTTGTCGTTTTATCGTTAGTGTTTTCGAAGCGCAGCTTCGCCTCTGTGTACATAATTGTTACATAACTATTAAATAACACCTAAGTATTTTTGACTGGTTGATTTTTCGGCTGGCTTATACTTCGGCTGGTTTATATGCCACCGAGTTTCTGATCTTGAAAGCGTTATGCAGTATGTAAAGTTTGGTTTCCAAGGTAGTTATATGATGATTAGCTTAGATTCTTTTTGTGTACCGAAAACAAGATCGACAGCCAACTCTTTGGCATTTGCTGGAGATGCGAACAAAAGTTTAGAATGAATCACTCCGATATCACTTTTAACAAGGTTCCTCGTATCAGGGCAAAGTCCTGATTGTTCCGACTACCCTTTACATGCTGTCGAATAGTTTTTGAGTTGTGAATGTTGACAAACTATGAATTTTAAACTTAGATTATATTAAATTAATAAGATTAATTAGCTTGCCTAAATTCAGTTTGGGACGGCTTTGTAGTGAGCGATAATTCGTCACCCACAAGTTATTTGCCTTACTTTTTCAGCATCAAAGTATAAATCGAGGAGTTTAGAAAGACGCAGCCCAGATTGGCCAGACTGTCATGTTATTATAGTGGTGCGGTGAGCGCTTAATTTTTTCAAACTTGTTCTGAATAGAAAAACCTACCTGAAGCATATAGATTCCTCACTGTCTTCGAACGTCCGAACAACAAGTAATTTATAGGTCTAAATCTAAATCTAAGATTGACCTGGAGGATAAATGTGACCAAATTATTGATATGTCAGATCTTTGCCGTTGTTAAGCTTAAAAGTTATGTTGCTTAAAGAAGCAATTATTGAAGTTCCAAAAAGCAGATTCTCTGGTAGTTATGGTGATATCAAGAGGACGATTGGAATCGGATCGGACGTAACAAAATTTAAAAAGAAAAACTATATACCATAGTTAACCTGGAAACAGAATGCTTGTGCGAATAAGAGGAAGAAAGCTTGGTAAATGAAGTTGACTAAAGCAATGGGCTGGGTGTTTTGAGTCGCGCCTTGAAGAAACCAAAGTCCAGTTTCAATGAAATGAGTTCTTGTCGCTAGGAGTGTTAAGCTACAGGGGCACTGGGGAAGCAAAGATGAAAGATATTCAAATAACACAGACTAGTGAATCGAAAGTATCTTAAAACACAAGCTTAAAACAGATCAGAATGAAATTTAAATTTTTCATACTCAGAGAACAAAGCAGAAATCTATCTATTAATGATTCTGTAGCCTGAACATGGTCAAGAGCAAATGTCCTAAAGGCTATAAAGAACCGTTTGTGCGCAATAATTGACTGATGAATTGATAAATGTTCACTTATGTTTTTTGATACTTCTCATACTATATTTCTAAGCAGCTTTCAGGAAAAATTCACAAATTAAACGAAATAACTCTTGATCTTGTTTTAATTTATATAATAATCTTAATAAATGCTGGTTTCATGCAGCTCTAGCGTGGAAACTGAGTATGATGATGACTATGCTCTGTCGTCAGTGGTAAAAAAGAGTTCACAGATTAAGTGTGAGCAACTAGAGCGAGACAGAAGGGAGGCGCTACTCCAGGAAGTATCCAGGATACTCAAAAAATGGTCTGACATAACATAAATCGCATTAACTCAGATGCTAAATCATTTCATCCTAGATAATTTTCAGAACATTCTCGGCATGACTAAACGAGTCTGTAGACTGCATGTTTTATCATATAGGGTTTGAACAAACCTTGATTTCGTTTTAGGAAATTACAAAAATGGCACCGCGTGAATAAGGTCAATATCTGACTCTTTCTTTTCTCTTTGCCAATTGTCTCTCATCATTGCTTTTCATGCTCAATTCCTAAAGATTTTTTCAATCAACGAGATGTTAAGACAGTCTCCCCTTGCTTGTGTCAATGAACGAAGTGATGACAGTTATATAGTTTCTGATGATTTTTAAAATTTAAATATTGTTTATCTCAAATTTTTCGCGGTTTGATTTTCTAACTCTTTTTAATTCTAAATTGAGGCAAATTCAGCTCTCCAATGACGAAAGTGCAAATGGCGCAAAAAAAACCGATTGAATTTTAGTTTCGAAGGAGTTTAGTAGTCTCCAACTTGGTTTGTTACGTTTGCGGTTAGCAAGCGTTATGGAACCGGAATATAGACTTTTTCGTGCTAACATTTTGTTTAACAAAATCACGTGTATCATGGTTCATAATGAATTGAAGTTTCTATGCGTCTCCGGCACTTAGCCTAGATGTGAAGAATACGCCCAGGATGCAAAAGGTTGTGGGCTCGAATCTGACAAGTAACTGTTTTTTTTTTTTTTCAAACTGGAAATATTCTTTTTGGCCTATAGTTTGTCTGCTTAGTTTTGTAGGCTTAGTTGTCACATCGTTAAACTAATTTTTTGATTTGTTTTTTTTCTATTTTTGGACTTTTTTTTCTTTTCCTGTCTACTAGCTTCCGCGTCATCTTAAATAGGTCGTGACGATTTTTTTCCTGGTCGTGACGATTTTTTTAAAATTAGTTCAGGCTCAAATTTACTTTTCGCGTTCTGATTTTTTTCAAGATCAGTTCATTTCCTTGGTTGAAAGGAAGGTACCATCGAACAACAAAATTAAAAACTCACGAAAAACGTGATCGACTTCTAAGTTCGAAAATGGAATTTAATTATGAGATTTGCCTGCGAATCAAACTTATTACTTATCCAGTTTTCTCAAATTGGCTTCCTTTCTTTAAAAAAGGGTCACCATAAATTGCTCTTGCCATTCTAAGAGCTTTAAAGCCATGTATTTTTTGTTAGAAATTTAAAAATCATAGTTTTTTTTCCGCGTCATCTTAAATAGGTCGTGACGATTTTTTTCCTGGTCGTGACGATTTTTTTTAAATTGGTTCAGGCTCAAATTTACTTTTCGCGTTCTGACTTTTTTCAAGATCAGTTCATTTCCTTGGTTGAAACGAAGGCCCCATCGAACAACAAAAGTAAAAACTCACGAAAAACGTGATCAACTTCTAAGTTCGAAAATGGAATTTAATTATGAGATTTCCCTGCGAATCAAAATTTTTGTTTTTCCAGTTTTCTCAAATTGGCTTCTTTTCTTTAAAGAAGGGTCACCATAAATTGCTCTTGACCTTCTAAGAGCTTTAAAGCCATGTATTTTTGTTTGAAATTCAAAAATCATAATTTTTCTTTCCGCGTCATCTTAAATAGGTCGTGACGATTTTTTTCCTGGTCGTGACAATTTTTTTTTGAAATTGAGTCAGGCTCAAATTTACTTTTCGCGTTCTGATTTTTTTTAAGATCAGTTCATTTCCTTGGTTGAAACGAAGGCACCATCGAACAACAAAAGTAAAAACTTACAGAAACTGTGATCGACTTCTAAGTTCGAAAATGGAATTTAATTATGAGATTTCCTGCGAATCAAACTTTTTACTTATCCAGTTTTCTCAAATTGGCTTCCTTTCTTTAAAAAAGGGTCACCATAAACTGCTCTTGACATTCTAAGAGCTTTAAAGCCATGTATTTTTTGTTTGAAATTCAAAAATCATAATTTTTCTTGCCGCGTCATCTTAAATAGGTCGTGACGATTTCTTTCCTGGTCGTGACGATTTTTTTTAAATTGGTTCAGGCTCAAATTTACTTTTCGCGTTCTGACTTTTTTCAAGATCAGTTCATTTCCTTGGTTGAAACGAAGGCACCATCGAACAACAAAAGTAAAAACTCACGAAAAACCTGATCGACTTCTAAGTTCGAAAATGGAATTTAATTATGAGATTTCCCTGCGAATCAAAGTTTTTGTTTTTCCAGTTTTCTCAAATTGGCTTCTTTTCTTTAAAGAAGGGTCACCATAAATTGCTCTTGACATTCTAAGAGCTTTAAAGCCATGTATTTTTGTTTGAAATTCAAAAATCATAATTTTTTTTTCCGCGTCATCTTAAATAGGTCGTGACGATTTTTTTCCTGGTCGTGACAATTGTTTTTTGAAATTGAGTCAGGCTCAAATTTACTTTTCGCGTTCTGATTTTTTTTAAGATCAGTTCATTTCCTTGGTTGAAATGAAGGCACCATCGAACAACAAAAGTAAAAACTTACGAAAAACGTGATCGACTTCTAAGTTCGAAAATGGAATTTAATTATGAGATTTCCCTGCGAATCAAACTTTTTACTTATCCAGTTTTCTCAAATTGGCTTCCTTTCTTCAAAAAAGGGTCGCCATAAACTGCTCTTGACATTCTTAGAGCTTTAAAGCCTTGTATTTTTTGTTTGAAATTCAGAAATCATAATTTTTCTTTCCGCGTCATCTTAAATAGGTCGTGACGATTTTTTTCCTGGTCGTGACGATTTTTTTTGAAATTGAGTCAGGCTCAAATTTACTTTTCGCGTTCTGATTTTTTTCAAGATCAGTTCATTTCCTTTGTTGAAACGAAGGCACCGTCGAACAACAAAAGTAAAAACTCACGAAAAACGTGATCGACTTCTAAGTTCGAAAATGGAATTTAATTATGAGATTTCCCTGCGAATCAAACTTTTTACTTATCCAGTTTTCTCAAATTGGCTTCCTTTCTTCAAAAAAGGGTCACCATAAACTGCTCTTGACATTCTAAGAGCTTTAAAGTCATGTATTTTTTGTTTGAAATTCAAAAATCATAATTTTTCTTTCTGTTTCTTTGTATTCATTGACTTATTTCCAACTGTCTTGTCTGTTGGCTATGTTTTAATTTTGGTTGTTATTTGGTTTACTCAGATTTCTGTATATCGTTTTTACCTCTTTTTTTGCTACTTTAGCGGCTTCTAAGATTTTGCTTTTATTATATCGGCTCTGTGCACTCATGTTTCTTTGTATGAGAAACTGCGTGTGCGCCTTTTGATGGCGGACTTTTTTTTTCAGGTATCAATTTTTTCCGATGAAGTGATGATGTCTGCTCAAGTATTCTCGGCTTCATGTCCGGTTCGTAAAATGTTGCTGTGATGACTATTTAACATTCAATTGTCCTTGTTGACCTGTTCTTCTCAAAAGGAACTTCATTCATGACATCTTGCGATAACTATAAAAAGTATGGTAGATATAGTTTTTTTGGCTTTTTACATTTCCATTTTACTGTTCTTTTTGGTTCATTTTTGCTCACTGATTTTTTACAGTGGGTGAGCGTTATGAAGACTCTTATATAGGTCCTGATGATTTTTTTTCAGGAAAAATGTTTAAAATGCTCTAACTAGAGAAGTGCATTCATACATATTAATACTTTAATGAATGCACCTAAATGTATATGCGCTTTTGAGTTCAGCTCAAGTTCATTTGCTTGAAAATAGTTCAAGTGAACTTTCCAAATACGAAACTTAAAATGGCGCGGAAAAAGTGAACGACTTCTAAATTTGAAAGTGGATTTAATTTGTTTCTTTGCCAGCGGAAAAGTGAATTAAGCTGTCGACCCATATTCTGACTAAATTTATTATCAAGTGTTGGGTCAAAATGGGTGAGCAGAAATTGATCGAAGAGTAGGAACAAGCAGACTGCGTGTCTTGAAACAAGAAGACGGCTCAAAATCAGGCAGTCCGCCGAAAACCTTAAATGCCCCGACACATCGTGCAAAAAAGGCCTAAGAGGTATATATCTCTTAGTTTGGTTTGAAGCGGCTTTTTGTGGGTGCTGTGTTTAAATTCGAAAACTGTGTTTTGATTTCACGATATGTCAATCTTTCTTTTTCGGCTTCACGATGTTTGTCTCAAGTTTAGTCTGCTGAGTTTTGGCTTTGTATTTTTTCCCAAGCGGTAAGGCGAAATTCTCTTGAATAATTCAACTAGGGTTCTAACCATTTTATGTGTAATGATAGAACTTTGATTTTAAGAGTCGAGGATCGTAGGTTAGACTTTTATACATGTCGCGATTTTTTTCCGTTTTTTTATTTTTCAGAAGTTTTCAGGCTCAAATTTCATTTTTTCTTGTTTTATTGGTTTGACTTGTTTTTTTTTTCAAGCTCAGTTCTTTTCCTTTGTTAAAAGGAAGGCAAACTCCCGTATCGAACAGCGAAAGTGTAAAGGTCAGCAAAAATGTGACTTATAATTTCGAAAATGGAAATTAATTATCAGTTTTCTCAGCAAAATGAGAATTTTAGCTATTGATCCAGTTTTCTCAAATTGGGTTAATTTCATAAAAAAAGTGTCTATCATCAATTGTTCTAGAAATTAAAAGAGCTATCTTTTTTTTCTTGGATTTTCGAAAGTTGACTTTTTCTCATGAACAAATCAGTATTTTTTTTGTTTACCTGCGCTCATTGACTCCTTTCCAACTGTCTGTTGGCTGTGTTAAATTTTTACTGACAATTTTGTAGCTTCTAGTTTTCAAATAGTTAATAACATTTATGCGAGTGCGTGTGAAGCTATATTGGCAAAGCTAATGGAAATTGATTTTTTTTGCGTTTCTTTGGATTAACTTTTTAAGTTGATTATTTGGTTTTTTTTATTTGTTGGCTTTAATTTTGTCGCTTAATTTCCGTATCTTTCTGAATGTGTCATAATTTTTTTTTCATGTTTTGGTTATCTTTTTTCTTTTGGTTATCTTTTCAAATAGCAGCAAAAGAAAATCCACAGTGCTCCTGTGAATACATTTGAAAATATTTTTGTTCTTTTTTTCATCCTATAGATACTATCAAGAAACATTCTTTTGTAATTCATACAGATTTTAATGTGCAAATTTTTGCTCCGATAACAATTAGAAATCAAAGACTAATTTTTTAAATGCTGATGATCGAATTAAAGAATCATTTTTAAGGCAAACAATTCATTCACGCTCAATTTGATCTATTCAGGGTTTGGATTCTGATTTAGCTTCAGCTCAAGTTCAATCAATTCATACGCTATATGCAACGAAAAATTGTGTTCACATTTAGTTTCAAATGTGGGTTTTTGTTTTCAGGTTTCGCAGAAAGTTTTAGCTTATATGTCGGCTCAGAGGCTTTATATTTCGTCGTCTACCATAAAGTATTGTATCTTGGGGAACTTAAATTTTCATGAAAACTTCATGAGAACTTAAATTTTCATGAAAACAATTTTTTTTTCGGCTCAAGTGGTGTCTTCTGAAGAGTTGTGCGCTTGGTACCACTTCGTAAGTTTTGCTTCGATATTAAGTTAACTTTCAAATGTCTTTTTACTATCTTTTCTCAAAGTGAACTACTTTTAAGCAAAATCGAGACAATCGTTGAATTTTTAGTAGATCTAATTTTTTTTTCGATTCTTTTCGGTTTGAATTTTGATTTCATTCCAAGTTGAACCTAGTTTCATTTGCTAAATGGCAAGAAGTGTTCGCGGGAATAACGAAAGTGCTACTGATGAAAAAACCGTTAATGATTTCTAGGTTCGAAAGTGATTTGTAGTTATACGAATTCCAGTGGAATGAAAAAGTAACATTGACTTTTCAATAATTTTTTTCCGGTGTTTTAGAATGCCTCCAAATTTTTTATTTTTTTCAGTTCATGGACATTGACTTTGTTTCTGACGGTAAGATGATTTTTTTTGAAAATTATAAATATAATGGGATTTCAATTTTGATTTTCATGAACATTTTACAATTGAAATCCCATTATATTTATAATTTTCAAAAAAAATCATCTAAGCGTCAGAAACAAAGACAATGTCCATGAACTGAAAAAAAATAAAAAACTTGGAGGCATTCAAAGTTTTGAGATCATAAAGTTTTTCTTGTTTTTCTTAAATAAATTGGTGCTTTTCCAACTGTATTTTGGCAAGATTGTGTACTTTTTGTTAAGCAACTGTGTACGCTTAATTTACACTGGTCTCATTCAAATTGAACTGGCGGTCAGGGGAAACTTGAATTGATGAATTGATAAAGATTGAGTTGGCTTTTGTTTGAATCATTTTCTTTTGTGACTATCATTAGCTCTTTAAACTATTGTATCGTGTCTGCTTCAAGTTTAAAACTGAACTTGCGGTCGTTAAACAGTCATTGAAGGCGTCATATGGTTATAATTATGTTAGTTGGATCTATCTATGCTACACTTTATTGTCAGGTCACTGACTGCTTTTTGTCCGATAGCTTTTTGAACCGAGTTTTGTTTTTAGTTCGAAAAGCGCAAGCTTCCAAAAATATGATTTTTTTTCGAATCGAACATAAGTATTTTTACTGAAAAGTATATCTCCGCTTACTTGTGGTTTGTAACTAAAAATGCTCGTTTCTATTGCGCTTGCGTTGCCGTTTTTTGCATAAAGGATTTTTGTTATTTCTTAAATAAAGAATAGAATTGATTAGATCTTAGAATGAAATGAATGATTTAATTAAATGTTGCTGGCTTGAAGGCTATATTTTGCATGGTAAATCGTGATATTATGCCTTTTTTCATGGCCCAATTAGTGGGTTTTGTTGATAGCCCTAGTTATTTGTTTTTGCAAATTTCAACATGAACCAATGATACTCGGAGAAAACCACATCGTTTCTCCCGTTTTCTGTGTCGACGTTTTACATGCGGTTAATTGAACTAAGTGGTTCGGAGCCCGAAATTATCCTTTGTTGTTGTCTGTGAGTGGGACTATTTTTCTCAGCCATGTAAAATGACTGATTTTTGTTTGGCATACGAGCTGTTTTTCGTAAAGAACTGAGAAAGCTCATACGTTGGTTCTATCCATATTTTGTTGGTCCTATATTAAACTGGTTTTTTTTTCAGGGATCTCTCGGCAACCTCTCAGTCCAAAACGTGAACAACAACCACAACAACAAGAGATCAAAGCGACCACAAACAGCGAGATTATCTGCTGGTAATAGTAGTAGCAGTAGTAGAGGGAAAAGCAACAACAGTATGCCTTTCAGACTTCAGTTCAAATCAAATACAAATCCTTATTTATGATGAAGACCCAGAAACGCCCTCAAAAACAATTGATGAAGGAGTTTCAAGAAAAAAGGTCGAAGTCAATGCTCGGATACGCCTAATAGACAGTTGCTATGAATATTATCTATCTCTTAAAGGTGCTCCCAACTTGCTCTCGTTAGTCTAATTTGTTAATAGAACATATCTGTATAAAATTTTATAATTCACTCTTGTCAAATATATATTTATGTAAATATGTACAAATATTTTGGAAGAATTAGTTTTGAAGGTGCACAGTATGTAAATTCGAATTCAGTATTTTCTCTGTTTTTTTTTGTATTTAAATTGACAGAGACAATTTGAGCGTGGATATTTTACGATAAAACTCACCACCTCCACCCTTATTGCAATAGGAAGAAATTCATTATAAAGTTCAAAACTTGTTTATGTTTAACCATTGGATAAATAAGAGGCCATGAGGAGAGTCGGTGTTTTTTGATCTCGGCAATAAAAAAAATAGCAACATAAGCCGGTTACATAAGCAAAATCTTCCGGCTACAGTTAGCTAAAAATTTGCAAAAAATTACTTGCTCATAGTAAAGAACAAGACTGCTCGTATATCAGGCAAAGCCCTGAATGTTGCGACTGTCCCTTAATTCATATCGAATAGTTTTTGGGAAAAGAAAATCTTGAAAACCTGTACATTTTGGACAATATCAAAGTGTAAAATTTTGAGTCGTTGAAAATTAATACGACCAATTAGCTAGCCACAATTCAATTTGGAACGATTTTGGTGTGCGGGATAATTCGCCTCGCATTAATACAGTGCTGATTTAAATTATCATGACAAAACGAACAAAACTTGAATTTTCAAACGCGTATTTCTCAACTTGGTTAAGATTAAACAAAAAGTGAAGAAAACAAAAGTTGCTTAGAATTTCATAAGAATTAATAAGGTGCAATTTTTTCTCCGAAATTCTTAACCAACATTTTACCCTAAAAATAGGTCATTTTGGTTTTTTCAATTGATCAAGAATTACGCTGAAACTAATTTGTTAATTGATGAGAAATATATATCACACGAAGCCTCTTACATAGTCCAACAAAGTTCTAGAAGGGATAAATCTTCAAAATTTTGAGTAATTTGTTAAAATTTTGTTTCTAAGCAATTATTTTGGGTTTTATATAGTAAAAATCACATTTTTTGACTATCAAGCAAAAATATTTTCTCTTCTACAGAATTTTGGAAATTTAACCCTTCTAGAACTTCGTTGGGCTGTGTAAGAGGCTTCTTGTGATATATATTTCTCATCAATTAACAAACTAGTTTCAGTGCAATTCTTGATTACTTGAAAAAAGCCAAAATTACCCATTTTTCGTCTAAAATTTTGGTTGAGAATTTCAGCGATTGCACCATATTAGTTCTGATGAAATTACAAGCAACTTTTGTTCTCTTCACTTTGTGTCTAATCATAACCCAAATTGAGAAAAACGCGTTTGAAAATTCAAGTTTTGTGATAATTTAAATGAGCATTGTAATTCGCGTTAAGCTCTCAGCATTATGAATAAACTCTTCAAAGCGCGCATAATTTAATCCAGAATATGGCAAAGTTGGCAATTTTTAAATCCCCAGAACTAAAAAAAAATAATCCAAGGTGAAATATCTTTTCACAATTGAACTCAGGAAGTCGATATCTTCAAAGGGGTATAAAAAATTTCTGTGTTATTTCGATCGGTGGAAATTGACTGAATAACAAAAAATCACACCGAGCAGAAATATTCTGTTATCTTCGAAAGTCGGAACAATTAGCAAGAAAGATGATAACTTAAACCTAGGTTCAAAAGCTGGTGATATGAGAAATTTTTTACACCAGTAGGAGAATTTGTTCTATATCTGTTTTTATTTGTTTTTATTGTTGCTCACCATAACAATTGCCATAAAAATAGCTTTGTTCATAGCAGCTGCTTTTGATTCAAGGACTTCAAAGATCAAAAAAGGTCTGTCGAATGTAGTAACAATAACAAAGTTATTTAACTTATTTGCCCTAAATATGTACAGTTCTGCGGCTTTAAAGGTACCGCTCGTCGTTTCTGTATCTGAATCGAGTAATGCTTACATCCTCGTCTGTGGGCTGTGCCTGAGGACCCTTTTCCTCGTCATTGACGACTGCCTGGTTGACTTGGCTATTGCGGTACATGTCAGCTCTTTGGCCTGGTGTCGCGTTTGGCTCCTCGCCGTCGTTAGGAAGTTCGGTCATGACAAACTCACCTGTGACAGCAGAGTTACCGTGGAACCGAAGAGCTTTGTGTAGTTGTTGAGTGAAGTAGGCATCGGCGGGGTAGGCCAACTCGCCGTGTTCCTTCAAATCGAGACCGAATGTTTCAGTTTTTTCCGAAACTCGCAGTAATCCTGAAATCATTTGAACTTGAGATGTATGGCCTTAAAATTTGCTTATATGAAGGTATCTCAATTAGAAGAAGGATGGTTTGTAATCAACAAGTTCAACTATTCCAATCTGGGTTGATTAGATGGCAAGGTTCATTACTATCTCGATTGTATTCCTTGTTTTTAATCTGGTGCCCGCTATCGACTTGTAAACATCAAGCTTGTTGAAAAATTGACAAAATTTTGATACGAATATTGTTTGCAACAAGTTAAGGCAAGCGATTCAAAAAGTTATCGAAATACATTTTTCCACCTGAGAACTTGATTTTTAACAGGTTCAGCTCAGTTTTTCTCGCATATCATAAAATAAAGAGACCGAGTAAATGGCTTTAAATTCTAGTTTGTTTTGAGATCCGGGTTGAGGTGTTCGAGTCATGATTCGACCGACACGGTCGAACGATGTCCTATTTTCGTCGCAAATTAAGACGGTTGAACGAAGACTGTAGTCGAATCATGAGTCGAACAGGATCAAATCATGAGTCGAACAGGGTCGATAGAGTCGAATTAGGACGGTTCTATTAATTCCCGGTAAAATTGAACAATGTCGAATATAGTCGAACAATGTCCGGTAAAGTCGAACAATGTCCGGTAAAGTCAAACAATGTCCGGTAAAGTCGAACAAGGTCCGGTAAAGTCGAACAAGGTCCGGTAAAGTCGAACAATGTCCGGTAAAGTCGAACAATGTCCGGTAAAGTCAAACAATGTCCGGTAAAGTCGAACAAAGCCGAAAACGGATATCGTTCGACTGAAAAATTCGAAAACGGAAATCGTACGACCGTTTCGGTCGAATCATGAGTCGAGCACCTCAGCCCTGGCCTTGAATTTTTACCATAAATTGAGATTTCTTAATTGTCGGAATAGGTGATAATCTGAATTACCTAAAAAGGAATTAAATGGCACTATGGCGAGATGATCTGGCTATCAACTATCAGGTTATTTACTGTTAATTAAGTGGAGCGCACCCGAAGGTGTACGCTAATCAATAAGCACGATTGGCATTGCGGCAGATTTTTTGCCGGATAACTAATTTCGGTGAGAAAACTTTGAATTCCTTTGTTTGAATAGTGAATTTCCATATTGATAAATCACCAAAAAGTCTGATTGGAGCGTCTGTTTGAGATCGAAGCCCTTCAGTGCATATGGAACGAAATGAAAAAGTGACGTATTATGTTTCTAGGCTAGGTCCAAGTGAACTAAATCACCTCTAAACCAAATAAGGGAGGTGATTGTTCTTTTGGTCAGAAACAAACTTTTTTTCAGCCAATCAGAATTGAGCACGTTGAGCGTTCGTGTTTTGCTAATATTCATCATCTAATTTTATGGTGTGATCGTTCAATTGGTTAATTTTGAGAGGAAATTGGTTTCATGGGCCTTAGGTTATTTTTAAGGCACTGAATAGTAGCAAAGAAAGTAAGATGGGGCGTAATTAAGAGGAGGGAGACTGCAGGCTTCTGTCCTTTAATTTTTCAACCCTCGAGATCCAAACTATAGCATATCAGTCGTTAGGCAGTCTAATGTTATTTTTTTTCGATGTTTTGGCTTTTTCGTTTTTGAATTTGGTTTCACTTTGAAATCAGCGTGGTCAGAACATTTTGCGCTAGTTGCATCGCAGCCAGTTCATTGCATTTTTTTGCAAGTGCAGTCGGTCCGAAGCATAGATTATTTATGGAATTGAATCCGAGTAATCTGGCTACAAGTACTTGTTTCGTTGAATAAAAAGTATCTCACCTGTGAATTTGAGCGTGAAAAACAGGGGTGCAGTTAGAGCAACTGTCCAAGCGGTTATAGCCAGACCACCTATGAAGTTCCAAAGTAGAAGTTTAAAAGAATTCTCGTCCCACGCATACAGAATTCCAACATCTTTTGCCAAAAAGCAAACCGCTATTAGGCCAAGTGAGCCACCTCCGAAGTGAACAGCAACTGCGTCTAGAGGATCATCAACACCCAGTTTGAACAAAACTTCACTGTACGTCACAAATACAACTCCTCCGCAGATTCCGGTCACGATGGATCCCCATCCTGGAATGACGTCACATCCAGCGCAGATGGCTACCATTCCCGTTAACATTCCATTAATGCAACCTAGAAGAGTGAATTTTCTGTTGACGATGAAATAAATGAGCACGACGGTCAGGCCGCCGCTGGAACCAGAAAGAATGGTGTTTTTCAATATTCCAGCCACCACACTTCCATCCCCAGCCGCTGTTATTTGGGCTTGTGATCCTCCATTAAACGCGAAAAAACCAAAGAACAGAATGAATCCTCCCAATGACATCATAGGAACTGTGTGACCTTTGACTCGTTGGTGTTTCCCTTGTTGATACTGGTCAATTCGGGGTCCGAGAGCAAGAGTTCCCACAAGTCCTGCGGCACCTCCGACCATATGCACGACACCGCTTCCCGCGAAATCTTTATAGGATATTTCTTCCCACCAGCACTCCGCCGCCAGCCAGCCTTTGGAATCCCAAGCCCAATGACTGACAACTGGGTACACGAAGCCAGTGATCGCGAAACTGTACAAGAAATACGCAACGAATTTTGTGCGTTCGGCCATCGCTCCGGAAACAATTGTGGCGGCGGTGGCTGCAAACACGAAGTGGAAAAAATAATGAGAATATTTATTTGGATCCAAATCATGAAGGCAGAAGTTTTTGTAACCGATGAACGCGTTAGATTTGGCTCCAAAAGCGAAAGCATAGCCACATATCCAGTAAATGACACTTCCTATAGCCGAGTCCAAAATGTTTTTCATGAGAATGTTAGTCGTGTTTTTGGATCGCACCGCTCCCATTTCCAAAAACGCGAAACCGGCTTGCATGAAGAAAATGAGCATTGAGATGACGATTAGGAAGAAATCGTTCAGATTCTGGTTCAAGTCGTCCAGATTCTGGTTCAAGTCGTCCCATTGTTCCCGAGTAAGAGTAAACGGGGGCAAAACAGTCACAGTCATTTTTCGGAGACCAGAATGTTTTTTTTTGTTTATTTAATTATAAAAACGTGACTCAAAAACTGTTCGCGTCTGTGAGGACAAATATTTAGGAAGACAATAAAATATCAATGTTCTTTTTTTGTTTAAAAAGCATAGCAAGCTAAAGATGGTATTTGTAATAAATGATGTTAAACCATATGCTGTTTTTCTTTTGTAGGTTTGACTGGAAAGATAAATAAACCATATGAATTACAGCAGTTTTCAATTTGGAGAATGGTTATGCAAATAATGACGAATGAATATGCTTCTTACTGTACAAAGAATCAAACCACCAGTTGAAGAAGTGCCCTTATAGAGTTATTGTATTGATTGACTGTTTTTTATTGAGTATAACCACCGAAAAATTGAATAATTGCTGCGTTCAAATATACTCGTAAAAATTATAATTAAAAACAAAGCATGGCATGTCATAAGATAAAAAATGATTCATCTGATTTTTGTTTATTGTAGCCATTTTTTGAATGTCTGATTCTTGACCATTTGATTTTTTTCGCCAGATTCTCAATTTGTTCCGTTTAATGTGTCGACGGTTTTTAACCGTAGTTAAACTAAAGCATTACAGTGAAAACACGTTCGCAGCATTTTTTTGATAATTATATAAATCTTCGTTTAAGTTATATCGCATATTATAATGGTTAAAAATTATTTTTTTGATTTTAATTTGAATTCAGTGTTTTTCTATCGCCAAGATTGAAATTACTAACCCGAAATTGGGATGCTGCCAGGGTGCAAATTGCGCCCCCAAATTTGAATGCCCAAATCTTTTTTAGCTTACAAGAGAGGAAGATGCTTGTAATTTTTTTCGAAGTTTTTCAGAAAACTTACATATATAAAAAATTTCCACAAGAATTGAAATTCTCAACCCTTCAATGCTCATAGTACTCACAGGGGTTCCAAATGTTGCCTCAAATTATGAATGGTCAAATCATTTCAGTTCCGAGATATGACGTTTTTAAAACGCATTTGAAATTCTCAATTCTATTGTGAGTATTTTCAGGCATTGCAAATCTTGTATTATACTACGGCTGGTAAATTTTTTTCATGGTCCGAGATATTAAATTGTCATAATTTTTCTTCAGTAAAGTTCAGAAAATTTAGATATAAAACATTCCACACCACAAGGTGCTCTCAGGTTTCTCTCAGGATGTTTGTATGAACTCCAATTATGATTGCTCAGCGCTCTTAGTTTTCTTAGATTTGACGTTATTATCTTCAAATTCAATTAAATACTTATCAAAGTTTGAAATTGTCGACCCTTTGCTGGGGTGATGTCAAATTACTATCAGCTACATATAATCAGCTATACTCTCATGCCAATATAATCGCTTAACTTTTTCATTAATTTAACAACTAAATTAAGAAAAAAGTGTCTGATATTTAAAAATTAGTTACGCTTTATTATGGATCCCATTTTTGATTTTAATATTTTTTAAATGAAATTGTTTCATTTTTTTCTTTGGAAAATGGAGCTGTGTGTTATGGACCATTTTAATGTTTCTTTTTGTACAATTTAATTTGAATTTTGAAGTCAAAATAATTTCTATCGTTCAAATTTTGATATCAAAATCGTTGTGGATTACCGCTTCTCTTTTTATGGCTGCATTTTTTTCGCTATTTTTTTCATCAGTAAAAGGCCAAGCTTTGCATTGGATAGACGCACAATTTGGCGTGTGACGGTCTCTGGAATCCAAAGACAAGTCTAAGTCTTTAAACATATTAAAACGTTGTCAGAAGGATAAAAAAACGAAAGAACAAAAGAATAACAAAGAAAGCGTACTTGTTGCGGAATCTACTTACAAATCTCAAAATACAGTTTGGCCTTGTAATGATATATTATATGTAGAAGCAACTTTCATGTTGAGCTCATCTGTTTCAAGCACCGGTGGTGCGTTACACGCTAGTTTGTATTGCAACTAAATCTGAGTTCTTTTTTTCTCGTAAAAGTTTTAAGTAGCTTTTATGTTTTTGGCTTATGGTTTCTTGGCTTTTTCACTTTCTTTGGTGCTTTTTGAAATGCTAAAGTTAATTGCTGTTTTTGACAGAGTTCAGGTCGGTTGTAGTGTAATAGTTCACTGGTTCAAAACTTAATCGCTCCAATTGTTGTTTGACAAGATTTTCTTAAGACATTTCTGATTTTTTTTCTGGCTCAAAAGGTGTCTTCCCATGTATTGTCGAATTGCTAGTTGCCCAAAAGTTTATTCAATGCCGACAGCTGTGTTTCTCAGATTTTTTTTGCTAAATCTGAAATTTTTAATTTTTCCAATGTCTCAACTTTAACAGTGTGACGTCCACACAAGGAGAATGTCATACAGTTTCACATTTGTAGTGTCTCTCGTTTTTTTTTAGCCCGGTGGTAACGAATACGCCTGGGACGGCAAAGGTCCTGGGTTTGAATCTGATCAGGGTCAGTTTTTTCAAAAGGTAATTGTTCGGTTCAAAAAAATTTCGGCCTATTTTTTGTCGGCTTATGTGATGTCGGCTTTGTTGCCACATCTAAGAATCGTTCGTTTTAGCTGTAAACTTTTTTTTAACTGAAGTTGTTCTTAGCAATTAGCAATTAAAAAATATGGCTGAATCGAAATTTGCTTTTCATAATGGTGTGAAAATTTCGGCCTAATTAATATCGAGTTAGTGGCTTTTCATTGCGTTGTTACACCCGAAAAAAAAATTTTGCGCTGGTTGACTTCTGAGGGAAAAGGGACTTGATGCTTGGATATTATAAATTCAAATCCAATCATCCATGCGGCGCACCTGGCATAGAAGTAAAACAACAGCTTGAGACGGCAAGATTTGCAATTTGAATCCGGCCGGGCCCTTTTTTTGAAACTAGAGTTTTTTGCTTTCGAATTATCGTCCGTTTGTTTATTTTTGTCGGCTTACTTCCGTAGATCGGAGGTTCAGTGTTGCATTCTCAAAATTCTTTGTATAGTTTCCAATGGTGCAGGCAATTTTGTTTCGAAAATGTTGGGCTTTTGTAACAAATTTTTTTGGCAATACTTTTTTCCGTTGGTGCGAAGCTCAGCTTCGCCTCTGTGTTTTAAATTGAATTGAGTTATGATACTTGGTTCGAGTGTTTTGTTAACAATGGCAAAAACTTCGCTTGAATAAAAATAATGCGTGGAGGAAACTTTAAAGAAAAAAGAAAAATGGAGCAATTTAAAGTTTTTTTTTCATGAGTAAATTTCTACATTTGATTTCGCCAAGCTGGGAGACCCATTAAACGGCAGTCGTATTTTTCACGATTTTATTAGATACGCGCAAGTTGTGATAGATTTTTTCTAACATTCTGAGAATTGGACGGGACATTTGTGCTCAGTGGTTTTTCTGAAGATAGAGTTCGATTTTTCAGCTAGCAATTCAATGGAATATTTTTTTTGCCATCTGCAAACTATTGATTTTTTAGAATTAAAGCTTACGATAAAACTGAGAGTTCGACCTCACATATTTTTTTCATTTGGTTAAAAACCAGAAACTCATTTAAAAAACAAAGTGGTTATTTTCAACAAAAATTCGATGTATCATTCAGAGACTACGACTACTACTACTGATTATAATGAGTATATTGCCCGTTTCCCCTTAAGGCGGGGTTGCACATCCGGAAAGCGCGTAAGCACTCGTTCAGATGAGGGCATGCTGAATAGCATTCAAGCTGTTTAATTGCGGTAGCACGTTTTTCCATGCCATTCGATCATGGCAGTCTATGGATTTGAGGCCTAAAGTTTTTGAGGCCTAACACAATCGATCTTGTGGTTTTTAGATGTTCCTGCTGGTCTTTTTCTCAACCCTTCAATGCTCATAGTACTCACAGGGGTTCCAAATGTTGCCTCAAATTATGAATGGTCACATCATTTTAGTTCCGGGATATGACGTTTTTAAAACGCATTTGAAATTCTCAATTCTATTGTGAGTATTTTCAGGCATTGCAAATCTTGTATTATACTACGGCTGGTAAATTTTTTTCATGGTCCGAGATATTAAATTGTCATAATTTTTCTTCAGTAAAGTTCAGAAAATTTAGATATAAAACATTCCACACCACAAGGTGCTCTCAGGTTTCTCTCAGGATGTTTGTATGAACTCCAATTATGATTGCTCAGCGCTCTTAGTTTTCTTAGATTTGACGTTTTTATCTTCAAATTCAATTAAATACTTATCAAAGTTTGAAATTGTCGACCCTTTGCTGGGGTGATGTCAAATTACTATCAGCTACATATAATCAGCTATACTCTCATGCCAATATAATCGCTTAACTTTTTCATTAATTTAACAACTAAATTAAGAAAAAAGTGTCTGATATTTAAAAATTAGTTACGCTTTATTATGGATCCCATTTTTGATTTTAATATTTTTTAAATGAAATTGTTTCAATTTTTTCTTTGGAAAATGGAGTTGTGTGTTATGGACCATTTTAATGTTTCTTTTTGTACAATTTAATTTGAATTTTAAAGTCAAAATAATTTCTATCGTTCAAATTTTGATATCAAAATCGTTGTGGATTACCGCTTCTCTTTTTATGGCTAAAAAGAATAACAAAGAAAGCGTACCTGTTGCGGAATCTACTTACAAATCTCAAAATACAGTTTGGCCTTGTAATGATATATTATATGTAGAAGCAACTTTCATGTTGAGCTCATCTGTTTCAAGCACCGGTGGTGCGTTACACGCTAGTTTGTATTGCAACTAAATCTGAGTTCTTTTTTTCTCGTAAAAGTTTTAAGTAGCTTTTATGTTTTTGGCTTATGGTTTCTTGGCTTTTTCACTTTCTTTGGTGCTTTTTGAAATGCTAAAGTTAATTGCTGTTTTTGACAGAGTTCAGGTCGGTTGTAGTGTAATAGTTCACTGGTTCAAAACTTAATCGCTCCAATTGTTGTTTGACAAGATTTTCTTAAGACATTTCTGATTTTTTTTCTGGCTCAAAAGGTGTCTTCCCATGTATTGTCGAATTGCTAGTTGCCCAAAAGTTTATTCAATGCCGACAGCTGTGTTTCTCAGATTTTTTTTGCTAAATCTGAAATTTTTAATTTTTCCAATGTCTCAACTTTAACAGTGTGACGTCCACACAAGGAGAATGTCATACAGTTTCACATTTGTAGTGTCTCTCGTTTTTTTTTAGCCCGGTGGTAACGAATACGCCTGGGACGGCAAAGGTCCTGGGTTTGAATCTGATCAGGGCCAGTTTTTTCAAAAGGTAATTGTTCGGTTCAAAAAAATTTCGGCCTATTTTTTGTCGGCTTATGTGATGTCGGCTTTCTTGCCACATCTAAGAATCGTTCGTTTTAGCTGTAAACTTTTTTTTAACTGAAGTTGTTCTTAGCAATTAAAAAATATGGCCGAATCGAAATTTGCTTTTCATAATGGTGTGAAAA